AGCCCAGCAGGTCGAGGCTGCGGTGGCCGGGAGTGGCCACTGCACTCCTGTCTGGGCGACGGAGTGAGACTCCAACTCAAAAAAAAGAAAAGAAACAGGGTCTGGCTGTGTGGGCCCAGGCTGGTCTCGAACTCCTGGCCTCAAGGGATCCTCCTGCCTCGGCCTCCCAAATGGCCGGGATGATGGGCGTGAGCTCCCACGCCCAGCTGTTTTCGGCTCACGAGGGGCTGTGGGGTGTCCCCAGGGTCCCGGGGAAGACCCCCGCCCGCCACCAGCCGCTCACCGAAGGGGGAGACCTTGAGACCCAGGATGGTGTCGTTGCGGTCCGCCAGGGGCGTCCGGTGGCCCGAGGGGTGCTGCAGCCACTGCTGCCCGTTTGCCAAGCCGACCAGCACCCAGTCCTCGTGGGAGGCGTGGGACAGGCCCATGATCTGGGGGGGGAGCAAGACGGGGTTCTGGCCCCAGGCTGGCCCAGGAGGTGGGTGGGAGCCTGGGGCTCACCCTGGGGCTGAGCGCCCGGCTGCTTCCCTGCTGTGCAGCCCTGGGCGAGCCACTTCCCTCTCTGTGCCTCGGTGTGTTGGCTGTGAAATGGGCACCGTCCTCCCTACTTTGCCCCCGACACAGGCTACGAATGTTCAGTAGCGTCTGGACAACAGCAGAGGCGGAGACGAGCTTCGTGGCCCAGGCTGGAGCGCAGCGGCTTGACCGTGGCTCACTGCGGTCTCTTAACTCCTGGGCTCAGGCCGTCCTCCTGTCCCAACCTCCCATGCAGCTCGGACCAGAGGCGCCCCCATGCCTGGCTCATTTTTGTGCTTTTTGGAGAGATGGGGTCTGGCTAGGTTGCCCTGGCTGGTCTCGAATTCCTGGGCTCAAGCAATGCTCCTGTCTCTGTCTCTTGAGTCGCTGGGACTGTCACAGCTGGATAATTTTTGTATTTTACATAGACGGGGTCTGGCTGTGTTGCCCAGGCTGGTCTTGAACTCCCGGGCTCTGGCGATCCTTCTGCCTCAACCTTCCAAGTAGCTGGAGCCACAGCTGCACGCCCGGCTCATTTTTTGATGTATTGTAGAGACGAGGTCGGGCCAAGTTGCCCAGGCGGGTCTCGAACCCCTGAACCCAGGCCATCCTCTCTCTTCAGCCTCCCAAAGTGCTGGGATGACAGGCGTGAGCCACCATGCCCGGCTGGCAAAGACTGTTTCTGACAACTCTTGTGCTGCAGAATCCTCAAACTCCCAACCCCCCGCCGGCGTCCACCTCCCTCTCGGACCCGAGGACCAGCTGCCCCCACCCCCAAGCCGGCGCGGCCTGTCCCAGCTTCCACACCTGAGACTCGAACTGGTGCTCCACGGGCTCCCCGGTGGCCCTCCGGTCCCAGCACCGCAGACGGGCGTCCAGGCCCCCCGTCCAGACGTGGTGGGCTTTGGCCACGACGCTCTTGGCTCCATTCGGGGAGCCGGCCAGGTCCCTGGCCAGAGGGACGTGGGGAGGAGGTTGGGCCCAGACTGAGCTCGGGGCACGCAGGGATGGCGCCAGCGCCCGAAAGCCCGACCCGAGGCGGGTGTCCAGGCTGCAGAGGGACACGGACTCCCGGGGCCGGCCCCTCCCAGCGCCCGGTCTCCCCCCTGGCCACCACCTCCCGGGCTCCCCGGGCCCTCTCTGCCCTCAGTCTACCCTCGCTTTGAGAGAGCTCTAAGCTGGGCTCGGTGGCTCAGCCCGTCATCCCGCACCTCTGGGAGGCTGAGGTGAGTGGATGGCCTGAGCCC